AAATACTGTATATACTCGAGTATAAGCCTAGTTTTTCAGCCCATTTTTTGTGCTGAAAAAGTCCCCCTCGGCTTATACTCGAGTCAGATTCCCCTCTGAAAAAAAAATGGTGTGGAGTCGCGGCCTCCGGCGGCAGCGACTCCCAACAGCCCCAGCCGGGAAGGGAAAGGCAAAAAGCGCTTTGCCTTTCCCTTCCCGAGGCGGCGGGACTGGGGCCGCGCCGGCGGTAGTGACTCCTGACTCAGGGGGCCTCCGAGGGAGGGGAAGAGAGTGACTCCTGCCTCCCGCTGTCATCATCATCTTCTTCTTTTGGGTTAGTGAATCAATTAAACCTTTCATGATAGTGAGATCGTTTCCCAAATTAATTATTTTTATTTTTGAAATTTACCAGTAGCTGCTGCATTTCCCACCCTCGGCTTATACTCGAGTCAATAAGTTTTCCCAGTTTTTTGTGTAAAATTAGGTGCCTCGGCTTATATTCGGGTCGACTTATACTCGAGTATATACGGTACTCTTAATCTTACACGGGAAAAGACCCGAACACACCTAGACCTACATACCTGTACCCGTGAAAATCTACAAAAACAAATTATATATATAATTTGTTGGATGGACACAATACAGAAGCCTGATGATGGCAGATGAGATTCTGCCGAAATGTTGCTACAACTTTAAAAGCACAACTATAATGACGTGGGAAAATACCCGAACAAAGCTGAATACCATACATGTAAGTACCTGCGAAAACTTAAGAAAACAAATATATACATACATACATACATACATACATACATACATACATGAATGACAGGGTCTTATTTTCGGAGAAACATGGTAGATAGATGATAGATGATATAGATTGATGACGATATAGAGATGATAGATATAAACAGATATAGATGAGCTAGAAAGATAGCTAGATGAGAGATAGATGAGAGAGATGACATATAGCTAGATGATATAGACGAGATAGATTAGAGATGATATAGAAATGATAGATATATAGATATAGATGAGCTAGAAAGATAGATAATATAGATGAGAGATGATATAGAGATGATAAGATAGGCACAGATGGATAGGTAGATGATAGAGATGATTGGATGAATGGATAGGTAGATAATCACTCATATAACCCCATACGCACACACACACACACATATTATATACATACACACATATACATATACATACATATAT